AGACAGACATGGCTCTATCGACTCGGCTATTGATGCTGATCAAGAATATATATCCTTTATGGGGTCGGAAACGTTATCTTCTGTTTTTTACATACATTCACTTTGTGTACAAATACAATTTATTTACTCTTCGAGTACCCGGTATAAAAACGAGAACGGCAACGGAAAGAGGTGGGGCAACAACAAACAAAAATATAAAAGAAAAAGAGCAAAAGAAATCAATGGAAATGTATGTGACTCAAATATAAAACAATTTTTATTCGAACGAGGGGACGGTGGTTGAGACACCATACATTGCGATATTTTACACATTTTCTGTACACTTATTTGGCTCTCTCTCTCTCTCTCTCTCGGCATGCAGAATGCATTGAAAATGTGCCTCCCCCCAAGAGCCAAGAGCCTCCCCAGCAGCAAAACTGGCCAGGGGTGCTAGGAGTGGTTGGGTAGTGGGAATTGAGTTGGGGAACAAGTCGAAATTCGTGTGCATTGTGCATGCTTAATTAAGTTGTCCTCTCGCCTCTCTCGCCTTTCTCTGCTGATGCGGAAGTGGGCGCGTCCCAGTGTGTGTCAAACAGTTTATCGAGACACCCAGACACCCGGACAGTCAGCCAGTCAATCCCCATACCCAATACCCAATCTTTAGTCTACGTATTCAAAGAGCTCCACGAATTGTCCTCGGTCCGTAAATCGCTCACATCGCTTCAGTTGATTTCCATGTCACTGACAAAATACATTTTGTGCTTTCTCCTCTTGTGTACATTGGGCAAATGTTGCGCTGCCATCGAAAATAGCACATAGAACAGAACACAAACATACCCATGGTAAACAGCGGAGTGGTGGCAGGGACTGGGTGAGTTTGTGGCATGTACACATGTCCCATGTAAGCAGGGGTCAGGATGGCACATTTAAATTGGTCGACAGGCCAGCAAATAACATGTGGAAGATGACATCTAATCTAAAGAGACATTCGAGGGGGCGAAAGTCGATTTCCTTTTGCTATATTCTGTCACTAATTTATGACTCGAATCAACTCAAATAAAACTCAAAGAAACTCCGCCCTTTTGCTAGTTCCAATCAAGCGGCGATGGAAATGAAAGGGTGCTCCACGTCTAAGAATTTTGAGGTATATATGACAGAAACTCGGACTCAATTCGTTGTTGTTGAAGGCTGCTGGAGGTTTTCATTCATATTCATAAAAGGTGGTTGATGAGGGATTGAGACACAAAGTTTTCTGCGTTCGTTTCGAAAGTGATTTCCAGCCAGTGGAAAACTATTTTTTCTTCATTTTACAAATGAACACTTGGCTCTCATCAATTCGATGTGGCAGGCATTTCTTTGCAGTTTCTTTACCTTCTCCCCATTTTCATTTTCATTTTCATCGTTGGTTGTCGTTGGGCGAGGAAACCCGCAAAAATGATGCCTGGCCCTGAAAATACGACTGACAATGGTCTCATAGGGGGCCACGAAAAGGGGTGGAGGAAGGGGAAGGGCATTTGGTTAAAGATTGCGCCACAGAAATGATTCGGGGTAGGGGAAAGTTTTCACTACTTTAGTTTTAATTTTCCAAATTGCATTTGGCGGCGTTATTTATTCAATCCACTTTCTGCTTTCAACGGGAATTGGCCGGAACGATGATGATGCCAACAAGGAGAAGCGCAGAAGGAGCACGTGGTGGAGCAGGTGGATCAGATCGGGTGGCGGCAGGTTGGATCTCGTGGCACGGTTGGTTTTCCTGTCGACAAAACTCGTTTATTAACACGATTCTCGCTTGGTAGCTGGATGTTGCGGCGTGCTGCCATATAAAATACTTGACTGCCATCTACCGATAGATGCCGCCCCCTGCCCCCTTCCCACTCTTGCCAACCCTTCGCAACTCTAATCGATTTTTGATGAGATTTTTGTATTCAATTTTGGTTTTGATAGGCAACGACGACGACGAGCACAACTCGCTTACGGGCTAAAGGGAGGTGTTCCAGCGTCTGTGTTGGGGTTTTTTGGTGATGGTGAAAGGGGGGGGGGGGGGGGGGTGTCGGCCGAGAGCGTGTTTTTGTGGGGGCGGGAGCAAACCGGGGGGTGAGGGGCATCCAGAAAGACAGAGAAGAGAAGCAAAAGAGGACCGGACACCGGGGGGTGGGGGCGGGAGTGCTCGTGGACAGAACCACCGACAGAGAC